TTGTCACACACACCCCTATAATACTTGATATCACCTCATGATAATGTGTGATTACACTCTGCATGCATATTCCTAATCATTAAGCATTTTATTGTTAGGTAAAATTATCTCTGTCAAAAACAAGATGCATAGCAATATTTTAGGCACTAAAAACGGAATAATGTTTCTACTGCTCCATAGACATGACTTGTGAAACTGAACATGGATTTAAAGAAGTTAGTTCCCATAGCAGTAAGTAAAAGGTCTCGGGGTTTCTTATTTCCGAGTGTCCCTCTGACAAGCGGTGAAGTAAAGCATATACCTGGGGAATAAACCACCATCAGGCTAGCCCCCACAAAAGATAAAGCAAACAGCAAATCTCACTGTGGAACCATAACTTCGGCTTTTGGCATTTCCCCATTTTATAGCTTCTTCAAACTGCCTCATCTTTGTTTTTCTTTTTGTCAGTGCTCTGATTACATAGAACAGCCAGGGCCTCTATCCTTTGGCTCTGTAGCTTTGTCTGTCCTAGAAAAAATTCCCACCATTGCTAATGTTGATGCAGCTCCCTCTGCGGCAACAATGTTGGAAGCATAGACTCCAGGTAGCCACCATTGTTTGTAAGTTTCATTAACACCTGGTCAATGTAGAAAAACCTTATGGCAGTGCAAACAGAGTTAGTGGTCTAAGATCACCTTTGGAACACCCAAAGTTCCTCAAACCATAGATTAAAATCTTAGCATGGTCAACTCAAGCCCTTCAATGTTTCTGAGATAGATAAGCAGAGTTCTATGCTTGCAAGTCTACAGTGTAGGGGCTTTTGGAGAAGACCTTAGAGACAGAGGTCCTGTCCCACATGTGTAGCAGGTACACTACTCGGTCCAAATGGTGGTTAGTGGACCATATTTCTCTATTAGAGACATAGCCTCTGGGGGGGACGTTAAAGATTCCAAATAATTTTTCATACAACTAGGGGTTTACCCTGCTAGCCTGGGCCAAACTTTCCCTTCTCCTCTCTGTTGTGAAATGTGGATTGGGTGACACCTGTAGGTGCTGGACCTAGGGGTGGGGTGGTGCTGCCGCACCCCCTGACTTGAAGTGGTTTCCATCGTATACAGGGGTTACAGTTTGGTTCAATGGCTCTCAGCACCCCCACTATAAAAATTGCTCCAGCACCCCTGTTGGCACCCCCACTCTGCTTTTCAGCAGTGCTGTTTCTGGTGCATTGTGGAATCCTTTGGGTTGAAAGGCATTCTGTGAATGTAAATGGTGACACTACTCGCTGTAAACGATACAAATTCCCTAATCTGACCTTGTCCCACTTGTTTCGCAAAGCAAGCCCAACATATGGTGTACTGTGCCAAGGCTGAGACTTATGATGGTCTAGACAGTCACTTGTGCTCCCGGATCTACACCATAGGACAACTTTGCCAGGATAACTGATGTCTCTGGAAGGCCAAACTCTTAGCACCTGCCTTTGACACACCACCTGTTGCTTCAAATTGGGTATCAAAACAATAAATCATATGTTTCACACAATGGATTAGCTTGACTTTTTTTCTGAATATTATATTACTTTGGCTGTTGCAAGTTAAACATTTTTTATCCAGGGTACCCTCCAGCTAACAGGTGCTATTGACCCTTTGAGAGCTCATTCCACCAAAGGCATTTGTATATTTGGAACTATTAAAATTGGAAACCAGGAAATAAATGAGATATGATGCATATGCTCCTATGAGTAACTTTATTAAATAATGACATTCTAATGAATAATGACAACACTGTGACTTGCTGCTCTTTTTTAAAATGTAGTTATTTGAAAGGATAAGCATGGGTCAATTAGAAAAATGCACAAGGTTAATAACTAAAGCCCCAATCCTGTAATGAACTCTACATGAGAAACCCCTGTACAGTTTTTGACCTCATTGCGGTTCTGTGCCCAGCCATGTGGGTGTAGTGGGGAATATATTCCAGTATCGGGACCTAACTCTTGCATCAGGAGCTGCTAGGGCCAACCTTTGCACCTGGGTTCCCAGTGCAGGATCAGGGCCTAACAAGATCTTACAATCGCTTACGGATGTCAGTAGTGTTACTTACATGAGTAATCCACGAGTAACATTATTCACATGCATAACTGTTTACAGAATCAGGTCCTTCATTTGTTAGCTTCCTGGGGCAGAGAATCTCCTTCTATATCTAGTAGAAAACCAACCACATTTTTGATGCTAAACGAGTAATGGCACTAATTACAGTGCAAAATTGTTAGGGAAACATGTTTGCTAAAAATCTATATGAGAGCATAAAAATCCCTTTAAAAAAGTTATTTTTTGTTCAATCGGATCCAATTATAACACATGGTCCTATAAAGTAAGTAAGAGTTCAGCATGTTTGGTATTTCTAATCTCATATCACACCAGAGTTTAAAATAATTAAAAAATCAAAAGGCAAACAAAATTGAGTATATTTGTTACTGTGTCACTCTGCAAGTAAACAGCTTGCAAAATGTAGCCATTACATAGCCAGGGATAATTGGGAAGTGTGTGTCCAACCATAGCTATTTTGCAAAATGTCTAAAAGTAAAAGCAAGTTAGTCAAAAGACCAGAAGAAAAAGAAACTGTTAAATCCATTTGTACATTGATTTAACAGTGAAGTATTTCATTCTTCATGTTTTTACTTGGTGTCTTGAAATAATCCCTTTTCTGTCTCCATACTCCCACTTAGACATTGTTCACAGACTTATTTATTTATGAAGTCTGAAGGTTAGTCCCTACCTGCTGAGACTAATTAGCCCTGTTCTTTGTGTCCTATGCAATCCTGTCTGATTAAATGTACACATTTGTTTTACTTCTTTTCATGCTTCCTTTCACTCTATTTCTGCTTTACTGATTAATATTAAAGTTGTAAGTTGCAGTGATTTTTTTATTTCTATTTTGTCTGCATCTTTCCCTTTAGTATGCAAATTTCTATGTGAACTTTTTAATGCCTGAGAATTTGTGTTAGCCTTGTCGATCTCTGTATTATTATTTTTATTATTCTTTTTAGAGAAGACAGTTTAGCTGAAATCCCTAAACTCTCTAAATATTGCATGACAAATTGACTTTGTTTTGGAAACCCTACGTGCTGAATGGCCCTTCGTAGGAGCAGCAGGTTAGATTTCTTGGGGAATGTTTGGATTATTTAGTACAGTCTGTCCCCTTGCTTTCTAACACCATTTCCATTAGGCAATTTACTAATTCCCATTGAATTTACTGTCTCTGTGCCCCCCTCCCTCCTTTGTTCCTTGTCCATGTTAAAGTTTCCCATTGACTCGTCCATTGTTATAATTTGTCACTGCTAGAAGATCAATTTGTTTTCCTTCTCTCTTCAGCACATTATATTCGGGTACCAGATGTCATTTCTTGCATCTGCATTATTCCGCTCCCCATTTTGTTGCTGTGTAGAGCCTGCTCTCTGGGTAGTGACTTAAAAAAACAACAACTGCTGCCTCAAATCCTTGAACTGAATACCCTTTCGTTATGTCTTGAGCGGTCAATTACTCCCCGCCCCCCTCCCCCCATAATCTACATTTGGTAACTCATTTGCTGGCTGGTTTTGGGGACCATTCAGCTGGTCCTATTTATTCCAGTGGCTATGTCACTTTCAGTTTAATTTTCCTGTTGTGATGCTTACAAAGCCAACACAAAAAACTTTTCACCTCTCAAGACACAGAGTCCTGGATCTCCCTCCTCTCTTGATCATTAACGTATCAATCACATTCCTTTTCCTCCAATTTTTTCCCCCATTAAAGGTCAAAATAATAATATGCCTTACGCCAAAAATTCTTTTGGCGATATCTGCTCACTGAAGAGTTATCTTGCACATTTTAATCCAGTAGGACTATAATAATAATAATAATACATGCAAGAAGAAAACGCTGGGTAAGAAAAGGGGTTTATTTCATGATTATTTTAGTTTCTTACCTACAACGATTGGCAATAAAAAAAATCTTAACGGGTTTAAAAAAAAACAACCAAAACAGAAACAAAAACAAAAAAAACACCCCACAAGCCAAAAACCTAACCACGCACAATAAAAAGAATGTCACAGAAAATCTCTGAGAAATTGCACTTTTCCCCATGCATACAAATGTATAGAGTTAATCATCTCTGCTCTATAAAAGTTACTGCTTTGCAAACAGCAGACACAAGGGCAGGCATCTTTTCCTCTCTTCTTAACTCCTATATATTTTTCCCCCTTCTTGTGCAAATGTACTTCTGAAGTAGAGTGCAATTTTCTCCTCTCCCCCTTTGCATGTGTTTTGTTTTTCTTTGGGTCATTCCCTTACATTCCCTCCTCCCCCTTCATTGTCTCCCTTCAATCCAGTCCCTTTTTTTCCCCTAACACTCACTAAACTCTCTCTGGCTCTTGCCAAAAAGGATCATTGTTAGTTCTCCGCTTCCCCCACCCTCCTCCTCCTCTCTCTCCCCTCGCTCATTCCCCAAACCTGTTTAGTTATGCACACGTCACCGGGGGAGCCCCCGCCCCCTCCTGCATCTCATTAAGTGCCTAGTGTGTTTCTCTCTCCCTGTCAATAATCCCGGATCCCAGACTTCTCCGTTCCTCCGGATTTCGATCCCCCTTTTTCTATCTGTCAATCAGCGCCGCCTTTGAACTGAAAAGCTCTCAGTCTAACTTCAACTCACTCAAACCCGAGCGGCACGGGCTCCCTATATCTGCGGCGTCTCCCCCCCTCTCCAGCTGACTTGTTGTTTGGTTTGTTTGTAATTTTTTTAAAAAAACCATTTCCCCCTCCCCCCGTCTATTTTTTTTTAATTATTATTATTCTCACATTGGGTGTGGGGTTGGTGCGCCCTTGGCACGCTGATCAGCTCCCTGGAAGGAAGGAAGAAAGAGAGAGAGAGGGGTGAAAAAATCCAGAAGAAGAAGAAACCCAAAGTCACTGGTGCAAAGAGGAAAGGAAAGACATTTCCCTCCCCTCCTCCTCCTTCTTTTTCCCCTCCCCAGGAGGAAACAGAGAAGGAGAAGAAGAAGAAGAAGAAGAAAAAACCCTTCACCTTGGACTTTTTTTTCCCCCGGTGCAAACTTTTTTTCATTTCTTCCCCCCCCCTTTCCCTTGTTGCAAAATTGCTGCTGGTGGGGTGAGCCGGCAGGAAAATGCCGCAGCTGAACGGCGGTGGAGGAGACGACTTGGGGGCCAACGATGAGCTGATCTCTTTCAAAGACGAAGGGGAGCAGGAGGAGAAGATCTCCGACAACTCCTCGGCAGAGCGGGATTTAGCGGATGTCAAGTCCTCCCTGGTCAATGAATCAGAAACGAATCAAAACAGCTCCTCAGACTCGGAGGTAAGGAGGGGGAACCCCCCCAAAATCCTCCCCCCCCCCTTTGGCGGCAGGCAGAGGTGGGGGGCAGAGGGGGGAGTTGTGCTTTGCAACTGTGTTTAGGGGGCTAATCCTCAGACACAACTTGGGGAGGCGGGGGTGTTGTAATGTTGCTACAATGTTTGACTTTAAGTTTCCTCCATTGCACAAACTTGTAACTCTGTTTCTCTCTCTCTTTTCCCCCCCCCTCTCCACCTTTTTTGT